ATTGAAGATTACGTGTTTAGAGAGATATATTTTTCTTGAACTAGGATCAAGACACCTGTATTCCATAGCAAAGGGATGATAGTCAAGAAACACACAAGCTAAGGACTTAGGTTAGAGTTTATTAGAGGTGTATGATTGGAGCCAAGGATATCAAAGATAGCCAAGCACCTTGAGAAAAGGGTAATCAGGACTATGATGAAATTTAGACTTCAAGTAGAAATTTATGTTGCAACTATGCAGGGGGAAGTTTGTTGATCAAGTATATAGTTGTAGCAATAGCCTCAAACCAGAAGTTGAGATGCATGAAAGAGTGATGAAGCAAGGCAATAGCAATCTCTGTGATATGCTCGTGTTTTCTTTCAGTAGCGCCATTTTGAGGTGGTGTATATGGACATGAGTGTTGATGAATAATACCATTAGCAACATTAAAATCCTTCATTTTATTATTACAATACTCAATGCCTCCATCTGTTCTAAGTATTTTTAAGACAATCTCAAATTGTGTTTCAGCATACGCTTTGAATTCTAAGAATTTTTCATAGACTTTGTTTTTGTAAGCTAGTGGATATAACCAAGTAAATCTAGTAAAATTATCAACAAAAATGACATAGTACTTGTAATTGGAAGAGAAATGAAAAGGGCCCCATACATTATGGATGAGAGAAAGAGGCTTATTTACATTTGAATTTGACAATTGAAAAGAAAGCCTATGGCTCTTTGTAACATAACTGTGATAAGCCAACCCGTACTATGCTTAATTATGTATGTGATTATATGTCTGATATGAATTTGCAAGTTTAAGTATGAGAAATATGTGAATTTGGAAAAATATCTGTTGAAAGTAGGAATATATATTGCAATTGAAACTTTGAATTGAAATTGAAGGCCGTAGAGACGCGATAAACAAAAACTGACTTCATAGCTATGATCAGCATGATTTTTAGAGCCTTTAGTGGGATTTTGAAAAATTATGGTTCGTAATGAATAAATTAAGATTTTTGAGTTAAGTTATATATGTATAGCCTCTTTTGTTCTTCATTTGTTGGAAAATGGCTCCAAAGTGTAAGTTAGAGAGAGAGGAAGAGGAGAAAGCTAGGGATTTGAAGGGACTTAAAGGGAAAACCGTAGATTTGAGTTAAGGTCATGTGTCGGAGGAAACACTGTAAGATCAATCATCACTGTGAGTAATAATACCATATTTATGTGTTCGTTATTATGTACCTCGAACCATGAACGGTGTTTGGTGCCGACATTGTGATTTGTTTGAAATGAGAAACCTCATTAATGTTATATGACATGCGCAACGTTGGGCCCGATGCCGTTTTGATATACATTGCACCTGAGGCCGTTTTGAAATATGATTGGGCCCGAGGCCGTTTTGATACACATTGGGCCCGAGGCTATTTTGATATATGATTGGGCTCGAGGCCGTTTTGTTAGACATTGGGTTCAAGGCCGTTTTGAAATATGATTGGGCTTGAGGCCATTTTGAAGTATAACAGGGCCTAAGGCCGTTTTGTTTATAGGATTTTGAGTATTGTGAGAATCTTATGACTATCTATTTACACTATCTTACTATATTGTTACTCATTGAGTTTCGCTCGCCCAATTTTATGCATGCACATATAGGTAATTCGCAGCATAAAGCACATCATTAGAGTCAGCTTCAAGAGCCATCCTTTTTGAGACCCAATCGAGTCATGTCTCTGAGATGGAGTTTTGTCTTGACTCACATTATACTTGGTCCTTACTTTGTTTTGATAATGTGGTCTTGGGTTTGTAAACGTTATACACAAATGTCTTTTGATACTAATATTCTTTTCGCATAGGCATGTAAATGACGTGGATGTGTTACATTTTGCTCATATTGGTATAGCTCAATAGACTCATTCTTTTGTTGTGTACTTCAACTTTTGGCCCCATTACTGTAATTACTCTGTATGTTTGTTTGAGGCCGAAGGTAATCAAGTGATTACCAGCCGATTATAACCCAAACTTTTAGGGGCGGGTTCAGGTTATGACAATAACAATCAATACAATCTTGAGTAGCATGATTAACAGTTTTAAGATGAAAAAGTTGTTTAAGATGTTGAAACTTCAAAGATGAAGTATGACCTAGTTTGTTATGCTAAACAATAGTAGAAACAGAAGTAGATACAACATAAGCAGTCATATAAGCTTGTTAAAATGACGTAAGATCAGATGAAGAAGTATTAGGTGGAAGAAAATGATAAATGCCATTGATATTAGATCCCTTGTGAAAACCCTTCTCGGTAAATTTGTCTTGAATCACAAAGTTAGACTCATTAAATGTTATAATGCTGTGATTATCCTAAGCTTATTTTTGGACTGAAATAAGATTTGATGAAACAGAGGATGAATGAAGAACATTCTTAAGATGAAAGGAGTAGTGAGGTGTAGGTAGAAGTCTTTCACCAATGTGATTAATGGGAATTCAATTTTCATTCCTAATAGTGACCTGTTTTGCACCCTGATATGGTTAATAACAAGTAAGATTGTTCAGATCATTGGTTATATGATCAGTGGCAGTAGAATCTAAGTACCATGGGACTGATGATGAGGAAGAAAAAACATCAGAAAAGGAAGCAACAAAGGCTATAGGTGTTGATGAGGCATTAGAACTAGCATGAGAAGCTTGATGGGAAGACTGATATTGAGAATCCATTTAGTGCCAACAATCAAGAGCTAAATGACCAAATCCTCCACAAATTTGACAAGCTTGAGAACACGATTAAGAGTATCTTCCTCTACCTTTGGTAGAAATTTCAAAAAATCTAGCATTATCTCTATAAAACTTTCCTTATCTTCCATCTTTAAAAGAGGTTATTCCAGCCACACAAATTTCAAGTCATAAATTAACGATTGTAAGCGTTTTGTTAAATAAAACAATAAAATTTGGAGACAAAAGAGAAAAACTAAATACATAAAAATGATTTACGGAAAAAAGATCTGGAAATGAATGGAATAGAGAAGTAAGGAGTAGCAAAGGGTCAAGGAACAACAAACACAGAAGATGGATGCTGGATACTTGTTTTTCGGCAGCAGCAACGAAGGAGTATGGGAAATATGAGCATTCATACATTATTTGTGGACAATTTTCCAGAGTCCATGGATCCAAATGGTCTTTATAAAATGTTCACAAAGTTTGGTGTGGTAAAAAATGTGTTCATTCCACTCAAGAGAAGAAAAATAACACGATCAAGATTTGGTTTCGTCTGTTACAATTGTCATATTACAGCACAGGTGGCTATACAGAAGGAAAATGGAGTTTGGTGTGATAATAGATCACTGGTAATTAAGAGCGCTACATTTAGAAGAGATCAGAGAGGTGAGGTACATCATATACGTAAGCAAGATATGCAAGGCATAGGGACTGATGTGGGTTGGGTGAATAAAAGGCCATCGTTTACAAAGGTGGTAAGAAAATGGGAGCAACCAAAACAATTAGAAGATGTAGTAATAGTAGAGGAGTATGGAAATGGATGGTTACGTGAGAGTACTGTAGCTAGACTCAAGAATACTTGTCAGTTTTCAGACTTTAGGAAGAATTTTTAAAAAGAGGTCTGAAGAATGCCTGAATTTGAAAAGAGGGAGGAAGGTTAGCAATACTATCATTTGATTCGGTAAAGGCATTAAGGAACATGAGAGAGGTGTTGGTTTATTGGATCAATGAATGGTGTGAAAACATAGTAGAGTGGAGGGCAGGTCTTGTGTTCAAAGAAGAAATGAAGGTATAGTTATGTTGCTATGGTATTCCATTTAATTTATGGAATACTACAAATTTCAGAAAAATTGGGGAATTATGGGGAGAGGTATTAGAGCTTGAAGAAGTTACTATGTCCATGTCATCCTTAGCATATGGTAAACTTAGAATCTTGATGAAGTCTATGGAAACCATTAATAAGTGTGCTAAGTTGATAAATAAAGGCTTGGTAAGCAAAATCAAGGTGTGTGAAGAGTTATGTTTATGCCAAGAACAACAAAGGGAAGAGAACTTATCAAATTTCCAATTCAGTGAAGCTCAAGGTATAGAAATAAAAGATGGGCATGAGAAAGATGATGATGACGTGGATGAATCAGAGGATGAAATGGATAGCAATGATGATGTATCATAGGACCAAGGGAAGGGGCTCGTATGACAAAGGAGGGCAGCGATGGCAGTGTACTAGTTGTGTTAGTAGTTAATGAGACGTGCTATGAAGTGGGAGACCCAAGAGTAGCTAGGATAGGTCTGGAAAAAGAGGAAGGCATGCACAGGGTGTTGATTTAGAACAATATGAGGGGAAGTAGCAGTGTTACAGGGTGTGGGCCTTCTGTGGGTTTTATGAAGAGCTTAAAAAATTCAGATATGCACAGGCCCAGCATTAACTTAAATGTGGTGTTGGGCAAGGCCTAGTTCAAGGGATTAATTGGAGGTTTGAACCAAACAAGAAGTGAATGGAAACAAGATGAAGCCCAAATCACAAGATATCAATCACCAGCCAAGATATCCATCGAGGAGATTGTAGGTCCAATGGGATCAAATGAGTAACCGAATCAAGATGAGGCAGAAATAAAACAGAGAAGAGTGATCAATAGAAACCAAACACTGTTGAGTAGAAGCAGTGGTGAAGATTAGCTGAGTAGTGAGTCGAAAAGGAAAGCAAGACTGGGGAAAAATAAGGCATGGTCAAGGTATGGTTTTCAAAGAGGGACAATTTTGAGGGCAGTAGCAGTGGCCCTCTCATCATCAGTGTCACAAACTACAGATCATAACAGAAGAATAAAGGTCAGAGATCAACAGTATTTGTTACATGAGGCTCAAGCTACAATCCATATTGGGAAAGCTCTGGGTGTGGATTTTGAAGGCAAGGAAAAAGAGATAACAGAGAAAATTATCACAATTGAAAGAAATGATAGGACTCAAGCTCCAAAGAGGGTTGGGATAGTGAATGCTTGAATGAGCAATTTCGGAGAAGTAGGAGTTAAAATATGTTGTCATGAAGATAGTATCTTGGAATATAAGAGTGTTAGGTAGGATTGAGAAGAGAATGAGAATAAAAGAGTTCATCAGACAGAGAAATATTGACATGGTTTTGTTTCAAGAAACAAAAAGATCAGAGATGTCAGAGTTATTTGTCAAATCACTATGGCTAGAAGATTTGGTTGACTTCATGGCAGTGAATGCTGATGGAATTACGGGAGGATTGCTTTGCGTATGGAGGCCAGAGGTGTTTGATTTGATTGACTGTTGCAGTAATCGAAATTGTATCATACTCTCAGGTAAAATACATCAGTTAATTGAATGTGTGGTTGTAAATGTTAATGCACCCAATGATAGGAGTATGAGAAGGAATTTATGGAAAATTTTGGGTAATCTAAAGCCTAAGTTTTCCAAACTATGGTGCATTGGGGGAGATTTTAATGAAATTAGAATAGTGGCTGAAAGAGAAGGTTGTATTAGGAGGGATGGTGAAATGAATGAGTTCAATGATTTTATAAATACATTGGAGTTAGTGGATGTTCCAATGATTATGAGGAGGTATACGTGGTGCAATTCACAAGAAGGGGAGATGTGGAGTAGATTGGATAGATTCTTAGTTAGCCCTGAATGGTTAGAATGGTTTAGTTTCAAATTGTGGGGGTTATCTAGATCATTATCTGACCACTGCCCAATATTACTAATGGAGGATGAGAGGGATTAGGGGCCTAAACTATTTAGATTCCTCAATGCTTGGGTTCTCTATCCCACCTTCATGAATAAGGCAAAATCAGTATGGGATAATACTCAGGTGGATGGATGGGCTGGGTATAGACTCAAGGTTAAACTGAAATCCTTAAAGGAAGCACTGAAAGTATTGAACATTGAAGAGTTTAGAAATGTGGAGCACAAGCTCAAGGAGGTAGAGGATGCAATGTATGCATTAGACTTGGCTGCTGAGGTTAGGCCTTTGAATGGTATTGAATTATCAAGAAAAAGAGAGGTAAAATGGGAGATTTAGAAGCTGAGAAAAATGAATGAATGGTTTTGGGTGCAGAAATCCACAGTAAATTGGGCTTTAAAAGGAGATAGAAATACTAGGTATTTCCACCTGATGGTTACAAAGAGACTGAGTAGAAACTTGATGGATTCCATCATCATCAAGGGTACTTCTTACAATAAACCTATATAAATGAAACGGGAAATTACAAGGTATTTTGGAGAGGCATTTGCAGAAAATTGGAAGTTTAGTCCAAAGATTGGTGGAGCTTTTAGGTCAATTGAACGTCATCAAGTTGAGTTGGTGGTGAAAGAGTTTTTTGAATCAGAAGTATAGGCTGTCATTAAGGAGTGTGATGGGAATAAAACCCCTGAGCCTGATGGATTTAATTTGATTTACATCCAAAAGGGGTGGAAGATAATGAAGGATGATATTCTTAAATTTATAGCAAAGTTTTGATGTGAATGAAAGGTTGGTGAAGGGCTTGAATGCTTCCTTCATATCATTAATTCCTAAGAAGGAAAACCCAATAAGTATCCAAGATTTTAGGCCAATCAGTCTCATAAATTCCATGTACAAGATTCTATCAAAAGACTTAGCTAGTAGATTAAAACAAGTGGTACCAAGTATCATTAGCTTAACACAATCTGCATTCTTGAGTGGGAGAAGCATACTGGATGGATATTAGTAGCAAATGAAGTGGTAGACTGGTGGAAAGGATCCAAGAAAAGTGGCCTAATTTTGAAACTTGATTTTGAAAAAGCTTATGATACAGTAAATTAGAGCTTCCTGTTTGATATGTTGGGCAAGTTTGGGTCTGAGACCAAATAAGTGGAATGGATGAGGTCTTGTTTAGGTTTAGCCAAAGTATATTCCTAGTTAATGGCTTTCCATTTGAGGAAGTGTGTCCCCAAAAAAGGTTGAGGCAAAGGGATCCAATCTCACCATTTTTGTTCATTATCGTAGCTGAAGGGCTGAATATCTTGTTATCAAGAGCCAGAGAACTAGGACTAATAAAAAGGGTCATTATTGGCAATGAAGGATTGAAGTTATCTCATCTACAATTTGCTGATGACACAGTCTTATTTTGTGAGGTAGATTGGGTGGAAGTTTCAAATGTGAAGAGAAATTTAAGATGTTTCAAAGTAATAATCGGACTAAAGATCAATTATCATAAGAGTGCTGTCAGTGGAGTGGGTATTGATGAGGCTACGACTGCTGATTTTGCTTCAAGATTAAATTGCATCAGTCAAAAACTACCTTTTAAGTACTTGGGTATGCCTTTAGGGGCTAATCCTAGAAGACATCAAATTTGGAAACCTGTGGTGGACAAGTTAAAGCCAAAATTAGCTGGATGGAAGAGAGGAGTGCTTTCATTTGCTGGTAGAGTGACTCTAATTAAGTCTGTGCTCTCAAACCGGTCAGTTTATTCACTACAAAAATTTCAGTTTTTTGCGACGGTACTAATACTCCTAATGCCATCTCAAAAAACTTTTAGCGACGGCACATGACTTTTAGCGATGGGAAAGGGGGGGTCATAACAAAGGGCATTGCTAAAACGTTTTAGTGATGACATGATGCCGTTGCATTTTTTTTGCGACGTCAAATGTTGCCTTTTGCGACGGCATTTTACTATCGCCTATAATATGTAAAAAAATTGAGATCTTTTGCGATGGCAATGTTGTACCGTCGCTAAAAATTTTATTTGAGACGGCAAAAAAACTGTTGTCGCGAAATGTTTTTTTGTTGCGACGGCATGACCTCTGTCGCCAATTTCTTTTGCGACGACATTGCCTATGTTGCCAATTTCTTTTGCGACGACATTGCCTATGTCGCCAAAAAAAATACATTTTAGTTCGAATGTTTTTTGCGACGATGTGGTGCCATCGCAGAAAAAAAAAACCAACAATAAAAATATTAAAAATATTAAAATTACCTGTATTAAATGAAAAAAATTGAAAAAGAAACAAATAATTGCATAATAATATAAAATTCTTGTATAGAAATAACAAATTTTCCATAATAAAAATATTTTTGCATTCATAACTACACATCAGCAAAATTACCCCACTACATAATGTTCCATAATACATATATAATGTTTAAATACATAATTTTGTTCACAATTCAAAACAACATAAACCAAAAATAAAAGTTTTCCTCATCATTCTCTGTAGGTAACAAAAACAACAGGTAGTCGCATTCTTCACGGGCATGCATTCTACAAGAAGCAAACTCCTACTCGGGAAATATCTGAAAACAAAAAATAAAAATAATTGATGACAATATAATTATGTGTTAATATGTTAATTACAAAAAAACATAAAAATTTAACTACTATACAATTACAAAGATAATTAAGTAAATAATTTTGCCTAGACCGAAATCCGGCTCTAACTCTCAAACTGGAAACCTGATTCGAGTCCCGTTATCTTCCACAAAGCTTTCATGCCAAGGCGGTCGTGTGTGCCAAGTTTTATGCTAATCCGATGTTGTTTTGTGATTTTAGGGTGTCAACACCTCGAATTTTAAGTTTTTTAAGGAACTAGTATGCCTAGACTGAAATTCGGCTTTAACTCTCAAACCAAGAACTCGATTCGAGTCCCGTCTTGTCCCACAAGTCTCTCGTGCCTAGGCAGTCGTGTGTGCCAAGTTTCATGCTAATCCAACACCGTTTGGTGTTTTTGGGGCATCAATACCTCGATTTCTAAGTTTCTTAAGGAACTAGTTTGCCTAGACTGAAATCTGGCTCTAACTCCCAAACTGAGAACCCAATTCGAGTCTCATATTCTCCCACAAGTCTCTTATGCCTAGGTCGTCATATGTGCCAAGTTTCGTGCTAATCTGACGTCGTTTGGTGATTTTGGGGCGTCAACATCTCAAATTCTAAGTTTCTTAAGGAACTAGTTTGCTTAGATCGAAATTTGGCTCTAACTCTCAAACTGGTAACTCGATTTCAGTCCTGTCTTCTCTCACAAGTCTCTCATACCAAGGCGGTCATGTGTGTCAAGTTTCGTGCTAATTCGACGCTGTTTGGTGATTTTGGGACGTCAACATCTCGAATTCTAAGTTTCTTAAGGGACTAGTTTGCCTAGACCGAAATTTGGTTATAACTCCTAAACCGGAACCCGATTCAAGTCCCATCTTTTCGCACAAGTTCTCGTGGCTAGGTAGTCGTGTGTGCCAAGTTTTGTGCTAATTCAATGCCGTTTGGTGATTTTGGGGCGTCAACACCTCGAATTTTAAGTTTCTTAAGGAACTAGTTTGCCTAGACCGAAATCTGGCTCTAACTCCCAAACTGAGAACCCGATTCGAGTCTTGTCTTCTCCCACAAGTCTCTCGTGCCTAGGCGATTGTGTGTGCCAAGTTTCACGCTAATCCAACGACGTTGGGATTTTGGGGCATCAACTCATTAAATTCTAAGTTTCTTAAGGAACTAGTTTGCCTAGGCCAAAATCTGGCTCTAACTCCCAAATCGAGAACCCAATTTGAGTCCCGTCTTGTCCCACAAGTCTCTTGTGCCTAGGTTGTAACGCCCCGAAAATTAGGCAGGGTATATCTATTTATGCTGCAAAACCCACCTAATACACGAACACATATATATAGCTAACTATTCCATACATTCATTTCCATTAAATCCCAAATGCCAAATACATGCTATTCACATCTCAATGCCCCAGTTCTAATTCCAAACATACATTTTATAACAAGTACGAAATGGAAGCCAAACAGATAATAAGTGCCCTACAGGCTTACAAATTTATCTAAGAACATTCTTAGTTACACAAAATGGAGTTTCAACTCAACGCAAATATAGCCCTGGGTTTACATTCAATCAACAACAATAAAACAAAAATGAAGCCTTAGCTCTGAGTCCTCCCAAGTCAATGCCTTGGCGGAGGCATAGCACCTGTACCTGAAATAGTTTTCCTTATAGGGTAAGCCACAGCGCAGTAGAGATATACTACACAACATATGGACCATGACAAGACTAAAGAGGAATATGCTCATGCCATGCTCATGAATAAGCAGTTTATCTCTCTTTTTATAAAGCATGCAATGCTGAGATGCAATAACAGATATAAAATCATTTCCATTTTAAAGCATATATGTTACAAGAATGCAGGCTCTGTGAATCTCTAGGTGAGTGTCTACAGGTAGGCCCTAATGCACTATCACTATCATTTTTGCCAGTAAACTGGAAGGCTCGGCACCTAATCGCGCGGTTCCACACCCCTGTAGACACTCCATTTTTGACCATCCTCAAGACTTGGACGCCATCCTTTGAATACTCGATGATAATCCATGCTCGTGTTCGTTTTGAGTTCCCGGAAGTCTCGGCTGCACGCCTTGCCTAAAGATCTCTCAACTTGTCTGTTTTGTGCTTGGTTGTGGACCAAGGACTTGTGGTTTTGCTTCTGAGGGAAGAGGGTGGCTTGTTGGCCATCCTCTCAACCCATCGGCCTTGTTTTCTTGCCATCGGCCAAAAGTGGTGGCTGATCGGCACTTTTTTTGGATACTCGATGATAATCCATGTTCGTGTTCGTTTTGAGTTCCCGGAAGTCTCGGCTGCACGCCTTGCCTAAAGATCTCTTAACTTGTCTGTTTTGTGCTTGGTTGTGGACCAAGGACTTGTGGTTTTGCTTCTGAGGGAAGAGGGTGGCTTGTTGGCCATCCTCTCAACCCATCGGCCTTGTTTTCTTGCCATCGGCCAAAAGTGGTGG